CAGCAGGAAGATTTCCACTGATCTCTGTTAGGGCCTTTGTTGCTATTACTCAACTTCTATGTGACCAGGCAAAAAACATCTGGGATTTTTTTACATTTTAAGCCAAGGAAGATTGATTTAAAATTTAAGTTCAGAAGCAAAATATAAGAAAAACAGTGATCACTTTATACCATTTAAAAATACATAATATAAGCTCTCATTTATAAGGTGGACATCAGGAAATAAAACCTAATACATTTTCTTTAACTCACTTGATACATGTTTTCTTCAGGATAACAAAGAGGAAAAGATGATATATCTATTATTAAAATAAAGATACTGTATCCACATAGCCACTACATTTGATATAAACATGATACATTATCTAAATAGCATACACACTTTTTTTTTTAGAGTACCTACATAATTTATTAGTCTAATTTTCAGAAGTAGCTCACACATTTCAGTAAGCAAAGCTACTGAAAGGGTAACTTTGGCTAATAAGCCTATGAGATGTTAAAAAAATTTTCTGTATTTATTGAAAATATTTAATATTCCACTATGACAAAAAAAAACAGGACAGGATTAAAAACGATGGGAGGGAAAATCTGTCTCTCTAAATCCTGTCCAAAAGAAGGTAGAACAGTCAGTAACAGACATATCTTCTATAATACTGTTCTGAAATTTCAATTTTGTAAAGGAGTAAATGTAAAGTTCCTATAGTTTCTTTGATTGGGGGTCTGGATTTTACAGCAATGAAGCACATTAATCCCAAAAGTGAAAACTATTTGCAAAGGAGAGATTGGCTTTGGGGGAAAATGAAGCTGTACACTTACAGAACAAATTAGCATCCGGTGTTGTGGCTTGTGAGAATTCCCAGGTGACTAGTCTCTCTTATCAAATTGGGTTTTCTTCTTAAATTATAACTAAGGAAAATATCATAATGGACTAATGACAATGAAATATGGACTGTGTTTGCTTCAGGTAACAAGGATATAATTTTTCAAGGTGAGAAAAAAGAAATCTCTCAGCTTTGACAAAAAAAAAAAAGGGCGGATTATTACTAGAATGACACATGGCAATCAAAACTGAAAGACTAGGGTGACAGAACTTAAAATTTTTGACGTGTCATGTCCATCCGCAGGATACAGACTTTTAAGAGAAGCCATATTTTCAGGAGTAGTACGTGCTTAAATGGAAATATAGTGGAATTTGTAAGTCATAAGCAGATTAGATAGCTAACTCCCATTATCTCTACTGTCCTGAAAATCCTCCTTCTGCTTCTTTAGGGGCCTAGAGATCTTTGAAAATACAACCCAAACTGTGTTTGTTTCTGTATGTGTGTGTGTCTGTTTGACTACATTAACCTTTTAGCATCATTGAGCAAATAAAAGGCTAGAGGAATTTTGGCTCATTTTGTACCATATACTGAATTCTGCCCAAGTTCTGGCATATTGAAATCTTTTAAAGCTCTTTTTGGAATGCAAACTTGATAACAGAATTACTCTCTTTTCTCTAATTAACTCCTTCCGAAATCCATGATTTAATTAGTCAGTATTAAAAAAAGAATCAGACATTTGGCAATGTGGGAAGCTGGCTGAATGTTCTGAAGATAAGATCAAGTGGATCCAGGATTAATCTGTTTTCCATTTCACAGAATATCCTTATCTTGAAAAGGACATACTGGTTGCCAAGGAGATTTGGCAGATGTTGTGCTTGCTCAATCTCTTCAAATGCAATAAGACATTCTTGTTTCAGTCTATGTGCCACTGGAATAGAAGAATTAGATGAAAACTTGAAAAAATGTCCCTTATTAATGAGGACTGTAAGTAGCTAATGGAAGAAGCTGAGCTTAGCTACTCTTCATTTAATTGTTAGGCCCACACTAAATAGGGAAAAGAGATTATTTACTCAGGTAGCTTGGCCAGTCATAATACTTCCACTAAATCTTTTCTTTTAGACACTGTCAAGATTGTTAATGCAAATCAACTTCATGCTTCTCTTAATCCTTCAGCCTGACATTGTCATTAACATAATTTGATTCTTGTTGGTCAATAACCCTCTAGCAGTAATAAGAAGCAAACTATTGCATTGACTTTGATCCAACTGAATAATGGGAGCAACAAAGATTGACTGTGTTCCTGAATCAAAATAAAACATGTAGATCAAAGTCTTCCATCTTAAAAGTTACAGAGTTTGACATACGGACTCTGTATTCTTCTGTTACAAATTTTTCATTACATTTCCTAATGAACAGGAAAATTCTGGAAATAACATCTCAAATTGATCAGCAGTTTTCTCAGAATACAGAGTATTTCCTATTTTCCAATATAACCAGCTGGTATCACATCTCTGTTCCCTCAAATTTGAAAAAAAGAGTTGAATGAGAGCAAACAAAGAAATACATGCCCAGATCTACCAGAAATCACAGTTGAAAGCTGGAGAAGTACAAGAACAACTTGACAAAAGATGGTCTCTACTGCATGAATACTTTGCTACTGCTTGTATCCAAGAAGCTTCCAATAGTGAGGTAGTCTCAGGTTTTCTATTACTGCTGGACCTATCCTGCCTCCCATGGACAAAAATCAAATATTAATTTATCCAAATGCAGGCATTTAGATAAAATCCACCACACTAACCCTGACCATGCAATTTCTAAAACACATGACTGCAGTTAGCTATAACTAGAACCAAGCTTGAAAGATCATATGGAAACTTCAGAAGCAACTGACTACTACTGAGCAATATGGAAAATAGAGACATTATATCAGTTCAGTAAAAAGTCCAGTGCCTCCTTTTTGCTCCTAGATATAATTCAGAACATAGATGCTAACATGGAGAAGAGTGGAGAAGAGAAGGCTCCAGGGAGATCTAATTGTGGCCTTCTGGTACCTAAAGGGGGCCTACAGGAAAGATGGAGAGGGACTGTTTGTCAGGGAGTGTAGTGACAGGACAAGGGGTAATGGATTTAAGCTGAAGAAGGGTCGATTTAGATTAGATATTGGGAAGAAATTCTTCACTATGAGGATGGTGAGGCACTGGAACAGGTTGCCCAGAGAAGCTGTGGATGCCCCCTCCTTGGAAGTGTTCAAGGCCAGGTTGGATGGGGCTTTGGGCAACATGGTCTACTGGAAGGTGTCCCTGACCATGGCAGGGGGGTTGGAACTAGATGATCTTTAAGGTCCCTTCCAACCCAAACCAGTCTATGATTCTATGTAAAGCAACACATATGTTGGGCACTTACTCTAAGATATTGTCTCTCCCAATATATACTGCACAGCAAGGAAATGGATTGCAAACATTTAAGGCTGGTGTCAGTAAGTTTATGGTGGAGAGCCACTACTGTGAAATTTAATCTTCTGATCTAACAAATCACCCATAAAACAGTTAAAAAATGGGCATATTACTATAAAAACCAAGTTTAAATAGTTGCCTGTATACCTCCTAATGGCTGAAATAAGCAGGCAGTTATCTTTCAAATCCATGACTAATCTAAGTAGTTGGAGGAAAATACTGCATGACTTAATGTGTTGGTACACCATACCAGCTTAAAAACACTTAAAGTTCATTATATTGTTTCCATCTATATTTAATTAGCATTCAGCCAACTGACATAGGTGTGCAATAGTTTTAACAGAGTGCTTGTTATTTAACCTCGAGCGTGTTATTTAACCTCAGTTTCTGACATCAATCCACACAACTTTAATGTGTACCTCTGAAAGACTACCTCAAAATAAATTATTCAGCTGCTGAGAAAGCATCTTATGTACATTTACTATGCAAGGCAAAGGCATAGCACACAAGAATCTTTAAAACGTACAGTTTTTAAATAAGCATACTATTTTATCTTAATACCCAAGTAACATCTTGCATATATATGTTAATAGTCATGGACTACCTGGAATTTAGAACATGTAAGATAATAAAATAAATATAAGAATCTACAGTATGTTCTTTGCACTGTTACAAAAACGAGACATCTAATAAAAGATTTTATTTTTTTTTTTAGTCAAGGTCTATATGAACTATAAGATGAGGCTTTGGGCAACGTGGTCTAGTGGAGGGTGTCCCTGCCCACCTCAGGGGGGTTGGAACTAAATGATCTTTAAGGTCCCTTCCAACCCAAACCATTCTATTATGCTGATTCTATAACCTTCTAGAATCAGATGCACTGCCTACAAATAACCTCCTGAAGTACTTCCAGTGCCAATGAACTTACCTATGCTTTCATGATGCTCTGTTTTCTTTCCCCCTTTTAAAAACTGTCATTATTAGTATTATTATTTAGGAGAGATTAGCAAAACTAGAATTTGAGTTTCGCATTGCCATCCAGTGTTCCCTGTACATGAACTCCGTGCCTTTACTCTTAACCCCTGCTCTTTTCCAACTTTTCATTCCTACTTCTACATTAAGTGAACTCTCCAGTCCTCTTCCAACTAATTTTCCAGTCATCCCAACCTATTTGCTTTCAACTTTTTGTTACTACTCAACCTCAGATAGGAATCTGCCAGAAACCCCTCTTTCTTTAGTGTACAGTTCTTAGTATTGCTGTGACAGAAGACAGATAATCTGGCTTAGCTACAAATTCTTATTTTGCGTGCTAGTCTTAAAGGTGCTGTTTCCTTGGTTGCTTATACTGGGACAGCATGGTTTATTTTTCACATTGAATTACTCTTAAAATAAAAAATGTCTTTTCAGCTAGGGTAACTGTAACAAAGATAGCCAACCTTTGAAAAGAACCCATTTTCTATATTAATGCAGACCACTGCCAATTGGATGAACTACATCTCCACACCACTAATGTGCTTTAGAAAATGTTTTCCCGCATCTCAGATGCCTACTGCTTATGCTGCAAGAAAGGAATACATGGTACTTCATGCAAATAATGAGTTGTTTTCCTTGAATAAATTTTCAGTTTAATTCAAGCCTGTTGAGGAATAATGATGCAGGATGATAAACAGGATGACAATTCCAATGCTAGAATACTGAACAGAAATTTACACGAATTCCCTACTATGCACATACTGTGCTTTTAACAACATATGCAGAAACATCCGTTACACTTGCATTTTCTTTTCAAAGGATGGACAAGAAGGACATGATTTATAAAATTAAGTACAAAATAACTGTAAAATATGATGGCAATAGTTTAGTTTGGCTCAAGAGGCACTCTTATTCCAAGCTGCTATATTTAGTGCTTACAATAGTCTGACAATACTATCCTTTAAGGTAATATTTTATTGAAAAACAAGGTTTCATTTTGTTGGAAAGTAAGCTTCCCGGAGAGATTTTATTGTGGGGTTTTTTTCCCCCTGAAATTGGTGAGATTTGTAGTGACTAATCTCTTGTGAAAATGAATTCTAAAGCCACAGACTAGTGCCCCTACTTAATTTTCAGTACTGCAAAGTACAATTCCATCGAGCCTAGAGGACAGAGCCAAAAATAGAAGGCTAGATGAGTACTACTCCAAGGTCACCTGAGCTCCGTCCACTGATGCTACTGAAGATAAGGAGCAAAGCACTTCAAATTTGATCTTGTGGTCAACAAAGAACTGACTGACACAGCACATAAGGTATAGAGCAACAAGCTCTCATCATCCTAATTTATCTCTTAGGTCATTTCACACTGACACAGCTGAAAAGCACTGCGTTATTCTGAGAAATAAACTGCTGCAATTCCAAATACTCCAAGTAACAAATATATGAATATACAGGGCAGGTGTCTTCTATATCTGATCCAGTCCAGTACTGCCAGTTAAAACAAATGCATTCTTATAAGAAAGAATAATAAATTGTTACTGTTTTTTACCTAGAATTTCGAAGCTGCAATATAGGAACTCATATGCTTGTATTTTCACAGTATTTTAAATTGTTAATAAGGGAACTTTAAATATTATCTAGAAAGTACAATGCTTTCCGAAACAAGAGTTAACCTTCAACCAGCAAATAATATAGCTTCATACAGTTACCGTTGCTCCTCCTTTAACAGTTACCATAGCAGTTTCATGTATCATGGGTTAAAACAACCAGAAATTGATTAGCTTTGTTTTTAAAGTGATACTTGGACAAATTAGTTGAATCTTGCATTATATTACTGTATATGACTTACTACCATGGGAGGAAATGAGGACTCATAGTTTGGCATGCACAAATTAGATTGCAAACCACTGTTTATTTACTGCCTACTTTAATCACAAAACCATATGCTTTGAAAGAATATGGAAAATATAATGAAAACCTAGGTAGCAAAAATATAATCGCTTCATAGTCGCATTAAAAATTTTGATTAAAAGAAAATCTTACAAAGCACTTTTGAAAAATTTTATTAAGCTTTCACTGATATGTCTTCAATTTTCAAAGCTGTATACTGTTCTAAAAAGCTGAATGAATACAGTAAAATGCAGCAACACAGGACAAGGAAGACTGATTGAGTCAAGCTAAAAGGACTAAACATATGTGTCTACAAACGAGCTATGTGTTTGGGCTTACATTACAGTTCATAAAATCAATGAGATTTTAGCTATTAGACCACCTCCCAATAGGACTCAATTCATGGAATGACAGAATAGCTGATGTTGGGGAAAAATTCTGGAGAGCTTCTACTCCAAATCCCTGCTCAAAGCAGGGTCAGATAACAGCAGGTTGCTCAGGGCTGTGTCCAGCCCTGTTGTAAGTATCTCCAAACGGACAGATATGTGGATGGAGACTCCACAGCCTCTCTGGGGACCTGTTTCTTTGTTTCAACACCAATTGCCTAAATACAGGAGGTCCAGGACTTCTGAGATGCTTTAGGATTAATCAGACATCCACAAAAGAAAGTCAGATAAAGTAAATCTATATTCTTTGGGGAAGGCAGCTGTATATGCAACTCTGGTATGTAAAATGTCACTATATATGCCCACACATGGGTAATTGAACAGAGTAATACATGTCTACTTAAGGGTAAACTTAAATGCATGCCAGGTTCTATTGATTACTAAGTCCCTCATCAATGATAATGGGAAACAGTACATAAATAGACACCTAAATTTATTTCTCAATCTAGCAGTCACTTTCTACCACAACAGCGATCTCAAGCAACAGAAAGGAGAGAAAAAAATAAATATTCAAATTAGATATACTGAGTCTCTATCATCAAAACTGTTTAGCAACACAGACCAGGTGATCTTGCACTGCCCTTTCCAGCTCTCCAGAAATCTGTTTAATATTTTATATTAATTTAAAGAGATATACTTACAGCATGTGCTCCCTGTATTGTCCGTACAAGGTTGATTCCTTTCCATACATATATATCTCCATTCAGTGCACCAGAATACGTCACTTCATCCCTCGCACAGGCTAGGCACAATATAGTTTGGAGATCACCAGTTTTGCCAAAAACACCACGTTTTGGTGTCAATGAATTGCCACACAAGCTCCAGAACTGCAACATAAAGTGATTTAGAAAGATGGATATTTTGCTAATATCCTGTAATTTAATATCTACATCTGAAAGAGAAGTACCTTACCGCCAAGAAACATCATCATTCATATCCTTTTCCCTGCTTTATTTCTCCACTTGGTTAACAACTTTTGATGTTATTAACCAACTTTATCTTTCCACAAAATCAGCATAGCAGACTAGTTGGGAAGGAGTTTGAGGGTATCAGTGTTAAATCAAACTGAAATTCTTTCAAATTATAGTTTGAGAGTTGTATTTTCAGTCATTTTTGAAAAACGTTTCATAATAGAACTACCTGATCTTTCTTTGATGCGAGACTTCCACTTTGCAAATGCTGGATCTGTAGTTTATATTATGTTAGGCATTTCAAGATGTAATCTAAGCATGTAAATTTCTGACAAGGATGCCATTTGCTCTGTTTGAAAGCAGCTGGTTTTATTATAGACTTGCCACTTCTCATCAAAACCAGTGATCATACAAAGCAGCCATCTAAGGCAGACATTTTTGAGAACTTTCTAATAAACCATTAGCATGTGATTACGGCAATCACATGTGAGTGAATTTTCTCCTAGGTGATCCAACATGTACTAATGACTCCTAAAGACAAAGTCTCTTGTCAGAGCACAATGCTTGCCAGCCAAGTCTCCAGCTACACTCTAGTTTCTGAGATCTCTGCAGACAAGCAGCACTTGCATGTTCCCCCTCAAACCTTCCTGTCCAAACACGTAAATGTACACTTGAAAGTCAACAAGCTGCTGGAGTAATCCAGTGCAAAATGTGAAAGCATTTATTTCATCACTGCTGACAGGTTACTCGCGTTGTCTCAGCATGTTCCCTGTATACCTGTTTATGAAACTGTATTTCACAGGAAATCTGTTACCAATAATCTATTCAAAATTCTGAGCAGAGACTTCAATTAGTACAGGATAATATAAGCAGTTACAATGAACAGATTTTTGTACCAGCAATACTGTAATTAAGAAATAATCCTATACTGATAAGATACAGAGTTTTGTCTAAACTAGTATTTCTTTAACCGAAGTACACAGGTCATAGACTATGTTGTTGCTTGAGAAGTAACTGCACAATCACTGCATAAATCAAACACCTAGCTCCAATATAGAAGTAGGTAGCATATCTAAGAAAAGTAATTCCTCAATATCAGTTCACTTGGAATTATATACATGACTTGATTACGTAGTATTACAATTTGCATAAAACATCATGTGAGGAAAAAATGATAGTATTGCAAACATGACAGTAATTATTTATATCTGAAAGAACAAGAAGAAAGGATGGTTTAAGAAAAATACACATCAACAAAAATCTCTTGTCTGATCCAAATGCCTATAAATCTCTAGGATTCAGATTTTTAAAGTTTTCTCAAAGGAAACACCAATTATTTTTGAAATGCTATTGTTATTTTAAAAGGCTTCATAGAGCTTTTAAAAGTTGCTCAAATAAACTTTTGCTTATCTAAATAGATATGTTTTGACTTCATAAAGCCACCTGAAATATACTAAATCACTGCTGACAAATATTAGCTCACTATTGGCATAACAGTCCTTTTAGATCTTCAAGTAGGAAAAAAAGATCATTTTTAATCAAGATCATGGAAATCTGTAAATTACATGCTAAACACTATGCTAATTCAAAAATGTATGCAATCTAGCCAACACATTGAACACTTTTTCCAATAAACCATTAATACATATTAATCTAAACATTCATTGTATAAAAAGCAACACATTTTCCCACCTCAGGAACCTACGCATAAGAGCAATACAGAACTTTCAAGCTGCCATCTACTGCTGTTATGTGGTAACACAGAAGACAGCGCATGGGAGAAGGCAGTGACTTTAGGATATATATTTGATGACCGTCAAGCACTGATAATCCTGCTGACAGAGTTAAACCTGAAAAAGAAGCTGCTTCTGCACAGCAGTTGGTACGCGGATCAAAGCAGAGCATTTCATAGAAATGTTCTGCTTGAAAAAGACAAACTGTCCAAATTATGAATCCTGTAACAGGTACAGAGTGTTCAAAATGACAAAGGTAGGAATAACAGCAGGGAAAAGAATTAAAAGAAACATCAAGCATTTTCCTTTCTCTTTCTACTGTATCCCCATACTCTCTCAAACTGTAAGAAAAGTTTTTTCAACTCATTTCACCTCTGCAGTGTAACAATTCATTAATTGTTCAAGAATCAGAAACTTGAGTACCTGCACTCACCTTAAACCTGTGCATCCTGTCTTATGCTACTTGAGATTTCAAACAGCATGCTTTAGACAACCTAAATTTTAAATTTTATTATGATCATTACATACGACGTTACTGACAACTGTTTTATTCCTTCTGCATTCCTTCTGTCAGGGCATGAACTCTTTTCAGCAGAGATGGTCTGTTTTCCACTATATATATCTTGTAAAATGTCTAGTGTAGTCAGGTGTGATCCATGATTACAGTTCCTAAGAAGTAATATTATTCTTATACAGGACCTTTCATATTATAATTATATAGTCCTTTTAGATTCTATTTTTATATATTTTATAGAATATAAACTACTGCAGCTTACATATTTTATGAATTAACATTTATTTCATTACCTTGATGTGTTTTACACCACAGCTGACGAGCTTGTTTGGCTGGTACAGATCCCAAGAAATATCAAATATCTGCATTAAAAAAAAAAACAACAAGGATGTCAGCAGAGATGGCCTTTCTAGCATGGGACAGTTAAAACAGGAAAAAATTGTAGCAAATTAACAGACAGTCTGAAATGCTTTAAATGGAACTACTGGAATGACTTTTTTATCCCCTCATTCAATACTGAAATTGCAGTGTATAGCTCTTATTAGTTCTGTTTGGGGTTTTTTCCTAAATAATTACAACACATGATAAAACAACATAAAGGTTCATTTACAGACTAGAAAAATTGAAGAGATTATTTGCATTTTGATTTCCCATATGGGGATTAGGGTCTTGGAAGTGCATTAATTTTGCACTTCCCCTGCATGCTTACAGTCTCAAAAAACCATACACAAATAAATGGTTACACATTTTTAGAAAGAAACGTACATATCTTAAATATATTCACATATCTTAATACATATCCAAGCTTTATGCAAATTCAATTTCTAAAACACAAAATGCTTTTTGTTCAGATATATTTCTAGTATTTGTACACAGACATGGTTTAACAAACTAAAATTACATTGACACTCAAATTCTTTAGTTATACTTACTCTGTCTGTATGACCAGGAGCCATTGATAACAATTTTCCTTTTCTCCAGTCCCATACACAAACTGTGTTTTTCGAATCCAAACCAACTGAAACCAAACGCTAAAAATGTCCAAATAAAATAAATAACGCAATATATTAATGAAAGCTAAAGTCATCATTTTGAATAACATATTCATAACGTATTTGAGTTAGAAGCAATAGCTACATTTCAATATAGAAGAAAACTAAAGATACAACATCTTATGTCAAAGCTTCCATAGATGCATCTCTTCAGCTACAACACAGTGATCATAAAGAAATAAGATCTTCTTGGATAAAAATATATTTCTGATTTATAATGTGTAATATATATAATTATATATAGCACACATGGCAAGCAGCAGTCAGGAGACATTTGGAAAAAGGAATAATCTCACTGAAGTTAATGAAACTACAGGTGTTTACCTTTAATTACATATAACTTGTAAAATAAATACTTAAATTCTGCAAGTTCAGGAGATATAAAGAAAAAAATATTTTCTTCAATCTTCTTGGAAGCAAGCAAAAGATTAAAAACAGTTAAAAGCTTTAAGAGTCTTTTGCTTGATTCTTCAAAACATGTATGAGCAACTGTTTCTTTCTGAATCCTTTCTCAAACCAGAATCCAACAAGATCCCAAACGTACAAATTTCACCAAGCCTTTAATATTCAGAAAGAGTCTGAAGCTAGTTAAACCATAAAACCAGGAATGACAAAAAGATTGTTCCAAGAAAATATAGAAAAATAAGTTCGAGATCTTCCTATGCTCTGCAGCCTGTCTTGTCTTCAACTGTGAAGATATTTTGCACAGATTTCTTGACACAAATCATTGACCATATTAGCCAACAGTCCACTTTTACTATATCTATGAACTAGTCAAAATGTTATTTTTCCTATAGAAATTCTCAACAGAAAGATTAACAGTATTAAAGGTCAGATAAAAAGGAATTGAGTGATTTTGAGTTTTGTTTTTAAAGCAAATTAAGTCTTTGTTCAGTTTATACATGAATTGTGACATCTTAATTTTGATAAATGAAAGCTTTGCAAATCTTTAGGACAAAGGGTTTTTTTCACTGTGCAACAGTTAATACCGACACACATTAAAGACAAATTTAGTTTCAATTTCTATGTAGATTATCAAAGTGAGTTTGTAAAAGCAAAAGTAAACCCCAAACATAAGTAATGTTTTTCTCAAAGACAGAAACCTGTTCCCAAAAACATCATTTATTTTTTTTTTTACTATCTGAAAAGCTCCAAGACTACGAGAAGAAAAAGAAACAAGTTAAATAATACAATTGCTATGCATGTTCCCTATTTATTAATGCCAACTTCAATTTTTCAGATATTGGAAAGTCCAACCTTTCTATTCCATCTTTGTAAGCATTCTTGGAAGGAACATCAGTTTCAATTCCAGCTACGCTTCCAAGCACTTCAATTCCAGTCCTACTGCAGAATGAGAGGTGTAAATCCAGACTAGTTTTACAATTACTGCATACACATCACAAAAAATTTGGGTGATGCCTTTCCAGACATAAGCCAATACAATGACTTCTTAAAAAGGGAGGTTAAATGATGTTCTCGGTTCTCCTAAGAACTAGAAAATCTTGTTACCAACCAGCATGCCGCCCCAGTGGAGCAGGGCTCAGAGAACAGTGTACCATAGAGTAAGCTGAACTTCTCTCAACACCAGAGAAACTGGAGGGTAACTTTGGTGTTATCTAACACAGCTGCACCAGTGAATCATCAGGTTCCCCAAGACAATTAACAAAGAATAATAAAAAAAGAATAGATAATGTCTTCCTGAGCTAGCCAGACCAGTCGGGGATGGGGATGAGAGTGTGCATGTGGCACAACCCAACATGAAGTATAAAAACTGAACAACTAATAAAACAAACTTTGAAGAGGGCTATGGGCTTGACCTCACTTCAACGCACATATTCCTTCCCGGTGACTGGAGATGCCCAGCATTGTGACAGTAATCATACACAGACCAGTAATAGGAACCACATTTTTCTTGTGATTCATCTGTATATTGCAATTGCTTGTGTTGTGATTTCAGTATGTTGCTGTATTGCTCTACTAAATTAAAATCCCATATAATGCCAAATATATCAAATAAGTATGTTTAATATCCAACATTAAAGCCTGTAAAAGAACCTGGTCAGGGACTGTGACAAATTTGGATTTAAAAGGATAGACAAGATGTAAACAAACATATTTTGTAGATCTTTCTGAGCTGGATTTGTGTTTTACTGTATTTCTATATGGAGACAATTCTGGAGACACAGATCTTAAAAAAACCTATATCCCGCTTTCTTTTGGGACCACAAAATTCTAACAAATGCCACAAAAAAGGCGATCTTATGGAAATGCTGAGAAAAGCAGACAGCCTAAATTCTGACTACTTATGTCTTTAAACATAAGAATCAGTACTGAAACATAAGAATCAGTACTGGGTACTCCTAGAACAAATTACAGATCTACATTCAAATTTCTCCAATACACACAGGGGATGCATAACTGCATTCTAAAAAAGAGTTAGGGGATTGCAATCCTAATTAGATACATTTTGACCTTAAATTATTAAGGCTGTTAAAGTTAGGAAGTGGCATGAATTTACAGACAACATAGAGAAAAGATATCACTGTCAAGTAGAAATGATGTTCTAGAAAGAAGCTGACTCTGGAAGTTGACTCTCTAAACAATGAGAAACCTAAATGATAAAATCTGTAGATCATTCCAACAAACTCAAAATCTCCCTACAACAATTACAACCTATTTTAACAGAAACAAGTTACAGCTAGGCTGTCCTCTATTTGTGTTCAATAGAGCTCCATTTCATGTTGTCTTAATAAGGAGAGCAATTGGTCACTACAATACATTCTCACTTGAGAAAGCTGTACTAAGTAAGAGATTGACCTTCTTCGCAAGCAAGAGGAACTGAGAATGTAGTTAAATCTAAGTATCACTTTGTAAGGCTAAGTGGGAGGGGAAAAAAGTGCTGCATAAGACCAGAGGAGCAAAACTGCAGAAAGGACTTTCATGGATAATACCTCTTCAGCTGCTACCTAATGTGTATTTTCCATTCTTAATACATCAATCAAGAAAGCTTCTTTATTCATTGGAGCAAGCATCTGGTAAAAATTATCTCCCTTATAAGTAGCAGCTCTGAGAACCAATTTACTACTCAGAAAATGTTTTAAAGTAACAAAATCATAATCCAATAGAACCTTTTTACTGACTCTTAGATCCAGGATACATGAGTCTGAACAAACAACCAAAATGTGGAGAGCCACCAATGCATGCAAAATGCATGACAGAGAAGGGGAGACTGCCTGAAGACATTCAGAGTCCAAGACAAGTAAAACAACGGGATTGCCATCACTTTGTGCACGAGGCATGTCCCTGAACAGGGAAGGTCTACTACCTCCAACCATTTGGTGTAATCCTGAACCCACAGACCACAAGAATCTGCCTACTACCTCATCGTTCAAAACTCTTTTGAAGTTACACTTTTCTTGCCAAATGTGAATATTTGTGAGTCACTACTAATGCCAACTTTTTTTTTTTCTTCAACTTGAGAATAAATAGATAAAATCCAAGTCAATACACTTCCTTAAAAAAACCAGAAAAAGCTACATAACGAGATTCTAAAATCCAAGTCAATACACTTCCTTAAAAAACCAGAAAAAGCTACATAATGAGATTTCTGACAGATAATTTAAGTGTTTGAAAAAAGAGTATTAATTACATACCTGACCATCTAAATCAAAAGCCAAGCAAGCTATACCATGTGTGTGAACATCTTTCAGAACAGATACAGTTTGCACAGTGTACGAGTCCCACACGCAGATATATGGTTCTTTTCCAACTTGACCTGTTGCCACCAACACACGTTCAGGATGCAAAGCAAGGCTGCCAAAGAAAAAGATATAAAAATTTTTGCATGAAACTTTTACATTTGCCTAGTTGGTTGAATTAATATTTTTCCTTAAAAATGATTTTACAAGATTTCCCTATTGATAGTGGATATTAACAAGTCATTTTGTATCACAGATTCCACAATAGCTGTAAAATTCCCTAATACAGTACATGCCACCACCCTTCCTGAACTTGAACCTTCAAGTTTTCACCAATTAAACTAATTGCAGAGTAGTCATTAATCCTCTGTTCCAAAATACAGTTTATTAAACTAGGTCAGTTTTTCATGAACTAAAAAAATACCTTATTTTCCCTTTCTACTTCTTACCATTTAAAAACACAAACAAAAAGTTAGTGTTTAACTATCTACACATCTGTTACCAATGGAGATATGCATCTCCAGCAATACTTTATTCCACTTACTATTTGACGTCCTTTTTATGAGAGGATTGAATAGCCTTCTGAAGCTATCTCTCTGCTGATCGTACAGCAAGCCAAAGCATGACTAGCTTAGACTAGATGTTATGACCAGACTTCAGATAATCTTCATCTTGCTTCAGTTTAGTTATCTTAAATGTCTTAATTTCAATACAGAATAATTGGGAATAGTTGATTTTGAATAATTATTAAGTTTTCACATTTCTAACATTGCAAAGAATTCTCTAATAGTTGGTATTTCAGATTCTTTCAAAGTCTGCAGATGATCATCACAACTGTTTTGTCAAATCTAGGACACAGAAAGCATGCTAGTCAGCAAGATTGTTTTGTTTTGTTTTATCAAGCAAGCTGTGAGGACACAAGGTCTGAAGATTCATATTTCATAATACAGAAAAGTAAGTAAGAATGTATTTCTAATAGGAACCCAAACAAGCTACTTGATGATGTTTTACACAGACTAGGTACAACAGTCCAAAATTATGTGAGAAATACACATGTGAGTCAGGAAGATAAAATGTCAAAAGTTGGCTATTTAATTTGGCTAAAAAATTTCCTCCCCTAATCACAGAGTAATGATCTTGAGAGACCTGTGGACAGATCCACTAAAAACATATACTAAATGTATTTATCTTCTCAACATCACTTGGAAAGGAGAAAGGTTGAGTACTTTGCAGTGGTAAGACAATCTTATGCCTGAACACAGATTTTGATAAATAAAGTTCAAAGTGTGGAGACAAGGGGAATCTATAAACATAGAAGAAATAACCAGGATAAAGCTAATCAGGAAATGACCAGGAAAAAAAATCTAATTCAAAATATGTATACATTTTCTATATACAAAAAAAGAGAAAACCATGTTAGAAGTTGCTTCATATTTCATGAAGTCATACTACACTATACAATACACTTTTATATTTTTTCTATTTTAATATAGCATTTCAATTGGTTGATATTGCTTGACAAATTCATGCGCAACTCAGAGGAGCATCTACCTTCAAAGTTTCTACAAAAGGTAAAAGGCCTCTGGACCTTTCAACTGTTCTGTGGGAATTCCTCCTCTTTACCTCTGCATTATCCTCAGCACCAGGATCAAGCAACCAACATTTCCCCACTTTGCTTCTCTTCAATTCCAGGGTTATTTCTCTGGTTATTCCCTTCCTTCTTTATTTGACAAAGCAACATCATAATTAATAAACAATGCAGAAAGGAGCTGGCAGGCAAAACTTATCACATTTCACTTCAGTTCCGCCACCTAATCCTAAACACCTGCACATCTCCCAGAGCATGCACAGGCAGATCGTGTACGCATGGGGAAAAAGGAAAAGCATCTGGAAGGGGAGAAAATGCTGCATTTGAAATGATCCGATTTTTACAATGACACGACAGAGAGATAAGACCACATCGACAATGAAGAAATTTAGGAAGAGAAAGGAAGTATAAGAAAGAAAAAAAAAAAACACAACAAAGACGACAAAGCAATCTGTCTAAAACTAAGAAAAAGTCTTACGACTGCTTTACGACTTCTTCAATCCCTTACTTAGCTCTGCTACTAGTGCATTGTGCAGTTTCAGGCAAGTGAAAACCACTCCACAACTGCAACTTGCTCAGGCACCACCCTGGACACACACACGTGCAAAAGCACCCCCACCCCACACCTAACAAAACACTTTCCAGCAATCAAAAATTAGCTTAGCATGGTTTTAACTAAAGACCAGAAGCAACAAATGCAATGCACTAGAGATAGAAGAACAATGGTAAAGGCACTACCAAGGGCCAGGAAAACATTGTCCTAGCCCAGGTGTGCCAACTAATTCAACTCCAGGTGTATTAGGTGAATATAGAGACTGTTTTCTCTTTTCTCATTAATAAATGGCAAATAACTAATAGCAATATCATAGTATTAGTTCTTTCTTTATCATTATATAAAATACTGACTTAAACAACCAAGCTCAAATTCTGCCTTGATATGGAATAATGCAGCACAAATTAACATTCAAAGCCTGTATTTTAATCACAACAGGCAACACTGTAGAATTACCAATGTCCTTCCCTTATCACTTCAATCTCTATAGTAAATTGCTAAGAACCTTTCTAGACAGTCACTGAAAGTAGAATAAATATACAACAAATATTTTAAAACAGCAGGCTTTTTAAAAAAATGACAATACACAGGAATTTCAGGGAAACTAAACAGCAGAGCTGTTGGCCGTGGATGAAGAAATACTTACCTGAAAACACCTTCCCTCAACATTTCTTCCAGATCAAAGAGTGAAGGATAGGTTAAAGTACTACTTGCAAGCATTTTAATCTCACTGACTATCACGATAGATGGAAAAGGGAAGCATGGAAAGAGTTAAGGGACTGCTATTTCTATTATCAACACTAAGAAAAGGATATGCCACACTTATTTACATGATTTTCATATGAACCGTGAATGACAAGAAAATGCTTTTCCTTAAAATTCAAGTCTTGGCTGTTATTACACCCATGGGGCACCACATAGAATTCCCGGTCTGGTATTTTGAGTCCTGATCAAAACTCAAGGATTAGACTCCAGTTTTAAGCAATATGGAGATCCTTTTCAGTTCCTTCATTGGACAATGAATGATTAAGCAATCCTTACAGGCATAGCAATTAACACAAAAATACAGTATCTTGGTCTAACCTCTAGAGTAAAAGCATTGATACAACTCACATATTCAGGAACTTTCAGTATTAAAAGAGTCCTGAGCAATGCACTGTTAATAGCTTCTTAGTGCAGAAAGAAAAAAAATGTAACTACAATGGGTACCTAGAAATGGATAACCATAAACATTTGCTATACAGGGCCTACGTTGACTCACAAGTATGATGCAGTTAATAGGATCAAACAATAACAGGATCAAACAATGAGTGTGAGTTGTGTCTGGATACCCCAGGTAAGACCTCTGAGACACCTCTACAGAGGTGTTAATAGTGTACAACAATTGGGATGGCATTTGAAGTAGTTGCTTACTGACCATTCAGTCAGTCCCTGAGGATGGGCAGAGAAGTATGAGTGTGGCTCAGCTCTTAAGACAGCTTCCAAATCTGTTGGTGGGCTCTGTGGACTTAAGTACACTGACACCCTCACATGGATTTTCTTGCATTTTTTCTCCTAGGGAGAAGGAGGAGATCACTTAGTGGAATGAGAAGCTCTGCACTCAGAGAGAACTCATTCCTTTTACTGCCAGGGTAATGAAAGCTAGGATGACCTATCCAGGTTAGACTGCTGAAACTGTGCTTGCATCCAGCCCACACAGCTAGACTGTAAACTTGTGCCTGATTTCTCTCCTCTTCCTTGAAGGATGACTAAGCTGATGAATGACACATCATTGCTTGTCCAAAAATGGAAACAAATATTCTTAACGGGACAAGTTCTTCAGGCCTCCTTGCTTGCCTCTGGCCTTTCTGACCTGTGCTTTTCAAGAACAGATGTTAGATATAACGTAGTGCCTCTGAAGAGGCAGATATGAAGGAAAATGTCCAAAAGGCAAATGTGACCACAAAACAAAGCAGGAATTAGGCTAACAAACTGCTAAGTCAAACTAATTTTTAAATTGGCTATAAAACTTGATACTTCTCAGAGGAATTCAGAAGTAGAAAATTTGAAAAATCTGCCTGTCACTATTGCAACAAAACCAAATAGCTGGACATGTAGAGAACTGAGATTTCCACTGATATCTCTGACTGACAGGTCTTTTCCTAGATAGATATTCAAAGCATGCTGAAATATAGTATTACAATTTTAACAATATACTAAAAAGGGGTATGTTTCTCAATTTAGTGCATTCAAGCTCCTCTTTTATACTTCATCATACAGAAAAGGTTCTTTCTCCCTTTTAGACCAGCATGTAAACATTCCCACCATTTTTATGAGATCCATGCACTGTACAATACCTATGTTAGTTTAATTATATTAAATATCAATGGCAGTCTATGAAAAAAAACCCATAAAAACTGTCCTTACTGTGTCTGTTTGGGATGAGACCAGAAACATGGACATGACCATCCAATTTGTGTGAGGTTTGTAGTGGCAGGGGATCCTGAAGGAGAATAGCCTATAATAAACTACTTTATTATAAAAAGAAATTAAGATTTTTCTATCTTTACTGGGTTTGTGTTGAGCATTAACAGGCATTGATTAATACAGACAAGCTGCAGGCAAGGATACAGTATTAAAGATGATGTTTCCTTAGCAACAATATTGGACTAAAATCCAAGAATATATTCATGTGACTACTCCTGAGCTTCATAAAACTAGGGCATCAGTAAAAATGCACAAAAGAATACTGCAGTAAAATAACAGCATCTCAGATATCTATTAATTAAGAGCTAATTTCAAGTGTGAAATTGTTTCTATGAGTAAATACATAAAAATATTTTCATTGTATGTTTACAAACATTTTACTTACAGTTGTGGATATTTTCTTATTTGTTGCCATTTATCCATATTTCCCCAGAAGGAATAAGAGGAGAAACTACAAACCATTTCTGTCATACTATTTAAGTTGTTAAAGCAGAAAGACCTGTAATCA